CCTCTGATGTCAGGGTTCCCCCAGAGGAAAATAACCGAAGGACCCTAAAGCCTTACCCCCTGTCCGTTCGTCCCCCGCTCCTTTTGAAAGGACGCTCCTTTCGAATATGTCCTGTTAGCTTATCTAAGGACGACAACACAACGCACACACGGCGCGTAAATCGCTAGGTTAGAGACGCATTTATTCGATGCGGGGGATCGGTTGTGAATCCATAGCGGTTTCCAAGAAAAGTGAGAACTTTTATTTCTTTTCGTTTATAAATCCGCTTCTCGCTCCGCACGGCCGAGAAATATCGATACGCTCGGCTCTCCAGCCTGCTTAATGCAGCAGTCCTGCGCTGCCGACGAGGCTCGCGGCATCGTCTGCAAGCTCGCAAGCTCCACGCTCATTTCAGAACACCTTCAGGATCAAAGCTGTGTGCGTGTGTGTGTGTGTGAGAGATATCGCTTCGAGTGTTTCATCATTTCCGTATACAGACTGAAAAGCACCAGCAGTTATTCTCTTGCAAGGCTCATTTGTCCTTTTGTGTCTTCGCAAGTTTGCTGAGGACAATGCATGCCCAGAAAACCCCAACATGTTTGTTTACTGGAGTTACACACAGAGGCTGATCTCTGCTGCTTTAGACCAGGTCATCCTGCTCGGAGGCTAATTCAATTCCGTGTAGCCTTCTGCTCTGTTTTTTGTTTTTTTTGTTTTTTAATTAGATTGAAACCGACATGTGGGCCTTTTTAAAAAAAAATTTTTTTTTATTAAAGTGCCCAATCAAAGTGGCTTATCAACACACATGTCTCTAAACTCAACTGCAGAGAAGAACCTTAGTGGTGGTGGTGGTGTTGTGACGACCGGTGGCTTAATTTCCTGCACCGTAGCAAGTTCTGCTGGAAGACGTCAGAAGTTTCGTAGCGTCCGCCGAGTCCTGGAAGGATTATATCGCGTCACTGTGAGGCACCGACGCCGAGCTGCTTTTGGATCTTTAATAGATCCAGACTATTTCCTCCGTAATGAACTTGGCACCATGTGGCTGCGCAATAAAAACCCACCGTCTCCGAATGTGTGTGCGGTTGCTTTGGTGGTCGTCCCGGGAAAGTGGGCGGGAAACGCGGATATATGGTGGAGTTTGGAGAGGTTGAACAAATCCACAGCAAGGGGGAAAAAATGAGAACGTTACACCGTCACTGGCACGCGATGAAGCGACAAGCGACCTACTCGTTTTCGTATCAGCCATCGAAGCAATCCTACTGCGTGACCTTTCTACAGTTCCACACTCAAAACGTTGTTTGGGGAGCGGGGAAACCCCGTCCTCCGTACAGTTAGTTCCCATTTTATTGTTTACGCAAAAATGGAAGGAAGTGTTTTTTTTTTTTATCTCATCCTGCCGTCCATGCGACCTCATTAAAGGTATATAACGGCATTTCAGAGAGAAAGCAAGCTTGGAAGGGAAGTAGCAGGGTGTAAATATATGTGGCTGGAAGCGACGCAGTTCGCTCGATTTGCACATCTGCTGAAGAAGCTAGTACGAAGCCTAGCATGGAACATGTCAATGAAAAGCAAAAGTGTCGTCTGTAAATCGCATAGTGGGCTGTAGATGGAGATTTTGGCTACTATCATTTCTTATCTGAACTTGAACACGCCGCCCGTACAACCCGAGCGAGTTTTACTGGGATTGTTTGATCTCATAACCTTCTGATTTCATACTGTCTGGTGGAATATGATACACTTCAGAAACATGGAGGATTTTGCTCGATTGAATTTCCACAAAGTTTATCTAGTGAACACATACACGTACACCCCTCTCATCTGGTCTCTATTAATCACATCCAAGTCTGAGTAATGGCAGAAAAGGGTTGAGTAAACTTTCTCTCTCTCTCTCTCACTCTCTCTCTCTCTCTCTCTCTCTCTCTCTCTCTCTTCTCTGTGTGCGCGTAACATTCACTCCCTGTATTTGATCCCCGGTCTCCGCCAGATGCTCCTGTCTGCTCTCACGGCTCGGAAAATAGCTAAACGCATACGCAGAGCTAACGCACTGTTCCTACAGAGGTGTGAGTGTGTGTGTGTGTGTGTGTATGTGTATGTATAATACCTGCTGATTAAACCACACACCCATCAGACATTTAATCAGTTTGGTTTCAGCAAATTCCTGGCTTTATTTTGTAACCCCATTTCAGCGTTTATTAGCGGGGCTAGTCTGGTTCCAATCGCAAAACTCTTCGAATCGTTCTGTTCTGTTAAAACTCGCTGATCCGAGACCAGCTTCACGTCCTCGTAACGGTTTACGTTTAGCTGAACTGATAGGAGTAATAGAACACACACTACTACTATTACTACTGATCTACTTTATGGGGTTTCGTGCATCCTGAGATGCTTTTCTGCTCTTCACGGTATGAGGGTATATGAAGTATTACAAGAACGTGGAGTAAAAAAAAAAAACTATCTATCAGAGATGCACTCACAAAAGCAAATTGTGATGGTTTTTTATTTTATTTTTTTTGGTTATAAATTTCTCAAACAATAACATCACCTTTTACTGCCCAATCCTCAGAATCTCATCTCCTCGTCCAAATATTTATCTGCCGTATTAGTCCCGCTGAGCCGAGGCCCTGTGAGGCATCACACGTACTTCTGATTAATATCAAAACCCTGTTGTTCATGTCAAACTGGTGAATAATTCATGAGGATGATCAGTAATGCTTTCTGGACCAGGAAAGTGACATAAGCGGAGTTTTTGTGTGCAGAAAAGTGCGTGAGAAAAGGTCCCTTCTTTGTTTATTTTTTTTGTTTTTTCCCCTAATCACCGACTACATTTACACGGACAGCAGTAATCTAATTATCGACCTTATTCTGAATAAGAAAATATTCTGATTAAGGTGTTTACATGAGTTACGTTTAGAATATTCCTTTCATGTTCCTGTTTTACGTGTTATAGTACAGTTAGATTAACGGTACACGTCATTACGTCGACACGCCGTCCGACGTCCCTCCAGAATTTCACGTATCGGCGTACAGTTGGTCTTCGTTATGGGGCCGCATACAGTTTTGGGTGTTTTTATTTTTAATTTTACGAAAGCTTCAAGTGCGGTTAATTATTTGTCGTGCTGTACGTGCAAATAGGCGACTGCTTGAAGCCTTGGGCTGCGTCCCAAACCGCGTACTTACCGTCTATATAGTAGCTGAAACACACGTACTTCGCCTACTATATAGTAGGTAGGTACGCGGTTTGGGACACAGTCGTGCTCTCTTGTTTTCCGTCAAACGGTTGAGCGCTGCCGTGTGTGTACGTCCCACACGACGTTAATAGTGTGATTAAGGCGTGTACATGTCTGTAACGCACGTCGATAATGCGACTAAAACAGGAATACTCCACACGTCTTAATTCCGTTTGTGTTTACTTCTGAGTATGACTTTAATCGGATTAAGGTCATCGATAATCTGTTTACATGCGAGTTTCTTAATCGGAGTATCGTCTTAATCAGGTTCATATCGGATTATTGTTGTCCATGTAAACGTACTGAGTGAGTGTAATTGGTGTCTCCTCGAGCACAGTGGTGTGAGATATAAACATATGAAATATATGATTGTAATAGAATAAAGCAGTAGGTTAGGATTACGTTCTTTTACACTGTACAGCTTGGTGTTTTATTCTGTACAAATTGCAGAGAGAGAGAGAGAGAGAGAGAAGGAGAGATCTGACATCATGGTTGTAACTTGTTTGCGGTGCTCGGTATCAGTACAGCCCTGACCCCCACCGAGACCCTGGGACTCGTCAGTGCACCACTAAACACACTGTCCTGTGATCAATCAGGCGCAAACACACACACACACACACAGACTCTCTTTGTCCTTTTTAATTCCTTTCCATTATCTTATCAGTCTCCTCCTCTCCCACTGGTTCACTGCCACACCTCCTGACCGTTCATCCTCAGGAATGTCACCCCACCTCACCCTGCCACCCCAGCACCCTGCCTGTCTCGCTCACTGTATGCATTCCTGCTTAATCCCTCCGCTTATCTGTCTCGTGTCTCCCTACTCAGCTTTCTAAAAAGACTTGCATGTCCATCCAGATGTTTCGAGAAAATCGTACTGTATTCTCCATCAGGAATATGCCGATAAGTGATTATACACAGGATCACAGTATTACTGGTGTGTTTCATTTTGGAGGAGGGTGCCTAGCTAGGCAATATGCACTTTTCTTCCTTTTCTCTGCTTCAGAAATTGAAGCTGTCCATTTAGATTGGAGTATTGACTGTTTTTTAATAGAAAGAACTCCCACAAATTCAGTTAAATAAACATGATACTGTATGAACACACATGTAGAAACAATTAGGGGTCCAAGCACTGAAGGTGTGTAGGCTACCTGTTGTTGTTGTTGTTCTCTCTTCTTTGCTCCTCCTCCTTCTCCTTCTTCTTCTCGTACTTCTTCTTCTCTTTGTCCTTCTTCTACTTCTGCCGGCAGCCCAGAGAACTGTCTGGTTAAAAAATTCCATATGATATGATTTTTTTTTTTTTTTCATCATTTAAAGAATTTGTGCTAAATTCAGAGTTCAATTCTGAAATTTAAGTGTACTTCCTGTCAACCATCTTGGATTTTGTGAAAAACGTTTTCTTTTCACTACTCCTTACAAATTTTGTCCAATCATCACCAACTTTGGCATACATCATCTTCAGAATAAGCCTCACAAAAGTTATCAAAAGAATTTGGAATACTCCAAACAGTTTGTCTGTAATGGGCCAATGAATCTGACCGCAAAGCCGGCAAATCAGTTTCTCAACAAAGACTTGGAACACTGACGCAACTCTTGGTAGACTCCTTCAGGACCATCCCCTGAAGCTACACAACACCTTTTTGCCAGCGCCATCTACTGGTCAAAATAAAATGATTCCATCCACATTACATTACAGCATTTGGCAGACGCTCTTATCCAGAGCGACTTACAATGATCTCAATTATACAACTGAGCAGTTAAGGGTTAAGGGCCTTGCTCAAGGGCCCAACAGTGGCAGCTTGGCAGTGCTGTGATTTGAACTCACACCCTTCTGATCAGAAGTCCAACGTCTGAACCACTGAGCTACCACTTCCCATCTAAGTGCCATTTTTGCTATTCGTCCACCAAAATTTTGTCCAATCTTGAGCAAATTTGGCCCACATCATCATCTGAATGAAAAGCTATCAAAGCTACCGAATCACTCTTGAATCCCTTTGCCTATAGTTATGGCTCTGCTTTTTCCTGTGATTGCGTATGCAACAATTGTAGCTCTTCTGTGAATGTGTGGCTCACTGCGTCTGGGTGCTTGGCCCCCGAAATTGCTGCTTGCAGCTTAAATTATACATTTTTGATTTTGATTTTCAGTACGAATTGATGATTTAATGAGCTAGTAAATAAAATATCATCTTTTGCGTTATTTGGTCTTGCTGTGTGTGTGTGTGTGTGTGTGTGTGTGTGTGTGAGAGAGAGCGCATTGTCTTTGCTCCGAACGCATGAACCGATGCGATGCCTCCGGGTTTGTATGAAGAACACAAGAGCACTTTGTATACTGTCACAGTTAATTGATCGAAAGCCTTCGAATCTGCGTTTTCTCCTCGTGACTCGTTAAACTCCTCAGCGGCTATGCCTTTAAACTGCGGCCATGTTTTTAATGACATACGATGTTACAGACCCGCTCAGTGTGTCGGACAGCTAAAAGACTCCGTTTGTGTTCATTTCAGTGAAATGGACACGTTTGGAGAGGCATGAAGGGGCATTTGAGAGAGAGGGAAAAATGCCTCCAGATTGAACCACACACTCATGGTCATGCCTCCTAGAGCGTCGGGCCTCATCAGCTGGGCGTTTGGTCGTTTGGGACACAGCCAGGCCTTTGTGTGGTCCTGTTTCAATTTGCACATGCTCCCTCAATCCCGGCCAAAAACCCAGACGTGTCTGCCGATTTTCCTCCATCTCCCACTTTATTCGCCATCTCCTTTTCTCTTTCTTTATTTTCTCCACCTTTTCTCCAACTCGCGTCTTTACACCATCCGTCGCTTTTTCTCACTCTGACATAACATGTTTCCCTTTCTCCATTCTTCCTTGTCCCTAGCTCTTGCTCTATTTCTTTCTTACTCCTTTTTCTGACTTTCCATCACTCCTTTTCTCCTCCTCAGCCTTTTTCTCTATTTCAAGCTCACTTTCTCTTTCAGTCTTTTCCCTCCATCCCTTGTTCTTTTTCTCTGTTTCACTTTTCTCCCCTTATCTTGCTCATTCCTTTTCTCAATCCCCCATTTGATCTCTTCTCCATCCCTTGTTCTTTTTCTCCATGTCTCACTTTTCAGTCTGTCTCTCACCCTGATTCTCCATCTCTTCTTTTCAACATCTGTATCCTTTTCTTGATCTAAGTTCCCGTCACTTTATACAGTCTCTCACTGTTTTTTTGGGGGGGTTTTTTTTTGCTTTTTTTGTCCATCTCTTTGTCATCTCATTGTCTTTCTGTCTCAGACTGAGGTACTTCTAAATATTAGTGACTGCGTCTGAAAGTAATAACGCTCTGCCTCTGCAACCGAATGTGTTTGAGCATCATTAGTGTGTTTGTTGGTGTTTAAATTCATCTCTCTCTCTCTCTCTCTCTCACTCTCTCATTCACTCTCTCTCTCACTCTCTCACTCTCACTCACTCTCTCTCTCTCACTCTCTCACTTTCACTATCTCACTCTCACTTTCTCTCTCTCTCTCTCACCTCTCTCTCTCACTTTCTCTCTCTCTCTCTCTCTCTCTCTCTCACACACTGACGGATCTAAAGGGTTAAATTTGCAGGCCATGTGCAGTGCAGTTTGTAGTTGATGGAACGCAGTGAGTGATGTAACCGAAGCAGACCACACACACTTCATTAGCTCGTTAATGGACTCGCTCACACACCTCGCAAACAGAACAGTAAAAAAAAAAAGAAAAAGTGAAAGCGTTCCTAACTCCTGCGTAACACAGCTCTGTAGATGTTTCTGAACCATTTCTCGGAGCACACGCAGCCCTGTTCTGCTCTAAAGAGCGTGAAGATGCGAGCGCATCCTGCAGAAAAGAATGCTCTTACCTGCCAAAAGCATTTTTCCACCAGTCCAACACACACACACACACACACGGGTCCGAAAAGTGTTCTAAAAGCCCACTCTGATAGACGAGCAACCGTCAGGTCTTCACAGGAGGACTCCAGTGATCTATTAGTGAACACTTTTGGATGGAGGTTTCGGGGGTCAGTCTCGGTGTGGTGATGCAGCGGAGTTATTATTACCAACCCGAAGTTGATTATTTTCCAGTAGCTGCACGTTTTATTCCTCTTATACCTAAAAGTTTACAATGACACGTCATACATTTTTATCAACAATGACACGTCATACATTTTTATCCGTATTTAATATGGAATTCATTTCGTGCCAAACGTATTGAACGTAACTTTTCAAGAACGGAAAAATAAAAAATAAGGGAAGAAAACCAGTCTGAAACTGGGAACATGAACGTGTAACATGGCCTTCAACTAAACCGCGTTAAGTTCTTTAACGCGCTGCCAGAGATTTCGTTTACGCTCCAAGTTTACGGACAACGTTCTGGTACAAAGCTCTCGTGTGGGCGGGGCTTAACAGCGATTTACCCTCATCGGCTGGTGAGATTTGGATCGACAGCTCCCTGACCAGGAAGTACAGACTTCGGTGGCGCAAATGTTTCGAGAGCATTCTGGATGCGGTTCTCCGTATAGTTATAGTAGCGCTTGTACTTTGTAGAGGAAATGACTTCCTGGTCGTCCTCAACGTCATCATCCTCACCTCCTCCTCAGCCTGACAACTCGAGCTGTCCATCCATGTTATTAGCCAGTGAGAGTAAATCGCCGTTAAGCCCCGCCCACACGTGAGACTTGTGCCAGAACGACGACCGTAAACAGAACGCTGTTTAATTGAAGACCAGGTTTCATCGTTTTTCTGTTTTTCTTCTTTCTCATTGTATGTTTGTTTGTTTCAATACTTTTGGAACAAATTTAATTCCATATTATAGTTGCATTTAATGTTCGCGTTGTACCCAGCGAACTTTATATTTTTACTTCAATACCTTCGGACCAATCAGATTTAAGAATTCTGCAGCGTCGATGCTTTTATATCCTGTAGATCCCCAATAAACTGTTTATTATTTGTAAAAATTTGATCGGCAGTGTGAGTGTTTTCATTTTATTTTTTGTTGGTGTGTGTGTGTGTGTACATGTGCGCCTTGGCAGCTTTGTTTAATGTAAACTGTACTCTTCTGCCAGAGGAACAAATAAATAGGGGCTTTATAGCTAGCAGGAACGTCTCTGTTTTTGCTTTCTGCGAAACACGTTCCAGATTTCATTTCGTCTTCGTTTTTCTTCTTCTTCATCTTCTTCTTCTTTTTTATCCTTTACTTGAATAAACACATGCTCTCGCTCATTATGCTAAGATATGAAACAGCACGCTTCATAAAAAAATGAAAGTTTATAAGATAGATTGTAATAGCGTCTCGGTGAAAACCAGAGGTCCTGACTCTGCAGAAACGAGGGTTTTCCACTGACGGATGGAGGAAGATGGAGTGAGATGTACACCGCTCGAAGGAAAATGAATTTGATTCTTTGAAATAATAACCGCTATTAATTAAAGATCTGTGCGTGCGGGTATCGGATAGTAGGACGGCGTAGCAGCTTCTGTGTACGAATGTTGTGTGTGTGTGTGTGTGTTTTGTACACGGCCTTAACATGACCAGTATGTCCAGTCTCTCCTGCGTTTAGCAGACCTGATAATGAGTATGACGTTATTGCTGAAGCCCTTTAAAGGGGTCATTTGGTGATTTTAAAAAGTTCATTATTTTGTTTATTGGGTGTAATGGAATCGGTTTACATGCATTAACGTTCAAGAAACACGTTATTTTCCACCGTAAATTATCGCAGTACATCTGCTCCCGATCGAGTTCCCGTTCCTCCAAAGCCCCTCCTTCCGAAAAGCCTAGAGCCCTCTGATTGGCCAGCTGAGCCGTTGCGTTGTGATTGGCCAAAAACCTCAAGCGTGCGTCTGAAACGTAACTCCCCCTCGCCATAATCGCAAGCTTCGGCTTCCGAGGCTTCTAAAGCAATTATAAAGACCAAAAAAAAAGAATTGTGGCGGTTATACTGATATTTCAAATTGTAATCGTATCGGCAGTGATATCTGGACTTGCTTGGATCGAGGCGCTTTGGGCGGGTCTGGAGTAGTGTTCTCTGTTCGATAGAACAAATCCCCTTGTGGGAGACTATGGGCTGTGTAATTTTGAAGATCTTAGACATGCACAAACGGAGACATCACACACTAAAGGAAAACATTAAAAAGCCCCCTTATGACCCCTTTAAGAGAAACGCCAATCAATTCCCTTGATTCTTTTAGACAAAACTGATTCAGATTTGCTTTCAGGGTCGTGCTGGTCTTCCTCTGATTCGCACCGAGAGTGCAAAAGGAGTCGGAAACGAAGTTTGTCTCGCTGGTTATCTGTTTTGAACGGTTTAAAATGCTATTTTGCCTATTTTTATTTATTTATTTATTTTTGCTCAGAAATCCTTTGGGCTCATCAATGGACTGTACCGTCGCTTTAATTTAAAGCTAATTAAGAGCTAATTTGTTTTGAGCGTAATCAGTCGAGCGAGTAACTCTAGAGAAAAGACACTTGGTGAGCGGAGGAACTGCCACAAGCGTTCGCTGCGTGTCACTTCATCTTACCGTCGAGAGGCGTGCATGTGTGTATTCGCTTTCGAAACTTTAATAGAGACGAAAGGTCTGGTGGACCTGAGTCTGAGATCTTGAAGTGCCAGATTTGAAAGTTGGGATTTTATCTGGAGGGATCGGAAGCTCAGTGGAGCAGAGCGACTAATAATAATAATAATAATAATAATAAACGTTTTTTATTTAGTGCCTTTCCATCCATCCATCTTCTATACTGTTTATCCTTTTCAGGGTCACGGGGGAACCTGGAGCCTATCCCAGGGAGCATCAGGCACAAGGTGGGGTACACCATGGACAGGGTGCTAGTCCATCACAGATAGTGCCTTTCCTTTCCATTCAGTTCTCACAGGGCTCCACATAAAGGATAAA